GGTTCTGGGTAGACAGTTCTTATCTTTTGTTAACCCGTCAGCATATGTGTATGTGGGTGTGTTTGGGGGGGGGGTCCATTGATTGACGTCATCAGGGTGTTAGCTTGACAAAGTTTCATTCCCACCACCCCACACCACCTACACAACCCCACACCACCCCACACAACCCAACACCACCCCACACAACCCCACACCACCCCACACAACCCAACACCACCCCACACCACCCCACACCACCCCACACAACCCCACACCACCCCACACAACCCCACACAACCCAACACCACCCACACAACCCCACACCACCCCACACAACCCAACACCACCCCACACAACCCCACACAACCCCACACCACCCCACACAACCCAACACCACCCCACACAACCCCACACAACCCCACACCACCCCACACCACCCAACACCACCCCACACCACCCCACACCACCCCACACAACCCCACACCACCCCACACAACCCCACACAACCCCACACAACCCAACACCACCCCACACAACCCCACACAACCCCACACTACCCCCACTCTGCCCAACACCACCCCACACAACCCCACACAACCCCACACAACCCCACACCACCCCACACCACCCCACACAACCCAACACCACCCCACACAACCCCACACTACCCCCACACCACCCCACACAACCCAACACCACCCCACACAACCCCCACCACCCCACACCACCCAACACTACCCCACACAACCCCACACCACCCCACACCACCCCACACCACCCCACTCTGCCCAACACCACCCCACACAACCCCTCACCACACCAGAGGCGTAGCGACCCTTCCCGGCGCCCGGGGACAAACTTTCGACTTGCACCCCCCTCAAACTTTCGATTTGCAGCCCCCCCCCTCAATCTTTCAATTTGTTTTTCCAACCCATTTGGGCGCCCCGTAAGGTCAGCGTCCGGGGACGTATGTCACCCCCGCTCCCCACCCCCTCGCTACGCCTCTGCACCACACCATACCAGTGACCGAAAAATTCACAAATGTGTATTAAGAAATGTTTTGATTTCCTTTTTAAGAATTGTAAAATTGTGGGTGTTTAAAATATGGGTAGTGATTTTTTAGTAACATATTTACTAATTGTAAAAATATTGTGGGTTATATATCCGAAGTTGGTGTTCTTGATGAGTAAAAAACTAAATGATAATTTACGTGTGGGCCTCGAATACCCGGTACACATACAAATACGACATAGGGACATATATCTAAAATGTTAACATTAGTCGGTCATATTAACATACAAATACAACATAGGGACATATATCTAAAATTCTAACATTCTAAATACTTGCTAGATACTAGTATTTCATGCTAGTACGTATTTGTTACTTTTTTCCTGTGACTTTTTTCTGTGAAACTTGTTTGACAGTCATCATACCACATGGCCCCTACCACAACAACCCCTGACCACACGACCCCTACCACAACAACCCCTCACCACACCACACCTCACCACACCACACCACACCTCACCACACCACACCTCACCACACGACCCCTACAACAACAACCCCTCACCTCACCTTACCTCTGTTTACCTCACCTCACCACACCACACCTCACCTCACCACACCACACCTCACCTCACCTCACCACACCTCACCTTACCTCTGTTTACCTCACCTCACCACACCTCACCACACCTCACCTCACCTCTGTTTACCTCACCTCACCACACCTCGCCACACCTCACCTCACCACACCTCACCTTACCTCTGTTTACCTCATCACACAGAATCTATTTGACCTTTGACCTATTGAAAGTAAATCAGATCAGACTGTCTCAAATAAAATCAATCGATAAAGTGAGATCGATAATTTTGTTGACAATATTTAAAAAACCATTTCGTCTGCTTTGTGGAAAGTTTAGACACAATGATGTGTAGTTTGACACAGATAATGTGTAGTACTGTAGTTTGACACACCTACAGATAATGTGTAGTTTGACACAGATAATGTGTAGTTTGACACAATAATGTGTAGTTTGACACAGCTACAGATGAGCTGCCTGCTATTGTTACAGGTGTCGACAGCTGAGCGTGGAGCCAGCTGGTGGCTCACCTGAGCTTCCAATTTGCATGACACCTGTTTGTAGGGGGGAGGGGAGGGGTTGTTGCTTCAAGTCGTGTGAGCTACACAGTCCAGTCTAGACACGTGGCTGTTTGATTTTCAACATAATTTAAAAGTAAATTGCATTATTTAAAAAAATAATTAAATAAATATATGTAAGCTGCATCTGGTAAAACATTACTGGATTAAGAGTAATGTGATTTAACAGCGAGACTCCGTCATAATCACACCACACATACACACACCACACATACACACACACACACACACGACACATACACACGCAATCAAACATGCGTGATTTGACACGCACACTATTTCTCACCAGGAGTCGCATGCAGCAACACGTGGGTTTATTTCTGGATCTAATCACGTGATAGCATCACGAGAAGAACGCGTGAGGGGGCGGGGCCAACAACACAAATGTCATAACCACCTTCCCAAATGTCATAACCACCTTCTCCAAATGTCATAACCACCTTCTCCAAATGTCATAACCACCTTCCCAAATGTCATAACCACCTCCCCAAATGTCATAACCACCTTCTCCAAAAGTCATAACCACCTTCTCCAAATGTCATAACCACCTTCTCCAAATGTCATAACCACCTTCTCCAAATGTCATAACCACCTTCTCCAAATGTCATAACCACCTTCTCCAAATGTCATAACCACCTTCTCCAAATGTCATAACCACCTTCCTCAAATTCCGCTTCAATGTCAAATAGATTTCTAAATTGTTTTTAGGTTAACTACACTGAATTCTACTTGGTTTTTTTAAAAATATCTAAGACAGGTTCACTTGATGTTTTGATTCCCCCCCCCCCCCCCCCAAACAAAATGGAAATTTATATAGAAAATAAATCCTCTTACCAGTATCCGCCCCCCCACCGCCCCCAGTAAAATGTAGTCATCCCGCCCCCTAAAAAATATCAGGTGCCCCCCCCCCCCCGGTTCTCTCTACTTCTCATATGAATGGCAGACGAAAACTCCCATGATGCTCTAGTCAACTACACGTTTAACATGTCACGTGATTTGATACAAGAGGTATCGCACAATTTTATTGCCATGATGAAATCTGCTGAAATATTTTCAGGTGCAGAAAGTCCATCTTCCGTCCTACTCAAGCACCAAACCCAGTGAATTATGGGAGCCGGTCAAGGTGAGGGTGCCGGGTCTGGCGCGGGGGGCATCTGTCCGGGCCTGCTGTGGGCCATCCTGTGGTTCCTGATCCTGATCTTCCTGGCCTGGCCAGTGGCCTTCTTCATCGCCTGGCTCTACGTCTTCCTCATACCGTTCGCTGCCTGCATCGAGCCGCTCAAGGGCGTGTGTGAGGCCATCCTAAAGCTGGTACAGCTGCCACTGACATGCGCAGAGAACATGATTGGCATGAAGCCACTCTGTGGATAACTGGATACCTGTGGATAAAAACAATGGATTATTTTTAGAGTATTATCTAGGTCAATGTAGATTAGCTTTTAGTTTTAAAAAAAATGATGTATTAATTTTTTCAAAGTCATTGAAATATCAAACATACCATTAGACCACGTGATCCATGGGCAGCGGAGGGCAGATAAGGGCAGCATACAGGCAGTGCTCGGTTGTACAGCAGAGGACACTGTACCAGAGGACACTGTACCAGAGGACCCTGTACCAGAGGACACTGTACCAGAGGACACTGTACCAGAGGACCCTGTACCAGAGGACACTGTACCAGAGGACACTGTACCAGAGGACACTGTACCAGAGGACACTGTACCAGAGGACTTTGTGCTGTACCTCCCAGTTTCCTTTTTATGATGGTCCAGGAACAGACGTCACGTGCTGTATTTAAATTTTATGTTTTTGGTTAGCTCTGTCTATGTTCATTTAATACGAGCATAATAAGTTGCTTTCATTTGACCACTCTGATTCCACCCACAAAAATTATAAAAATCTATCATGCTAAGGGAAACAACAGCTTAATAATTTAAAAAATAACAAGAAGAAAATGATTATCTCCCTTGGTTATTAAACTTGTATTTAACCCTGGCTTTTTAACTAGCGTGTACACGAAATTAATGGGGGGGGGGGGGGGGGGGGATTTTGTTTGCGGCAGCAGTGGAATGGGGTGGTTGGGGATAGTGACGTCATCAGTACTTGATGACGTCACCCATTTCCCCAACCAGGAGAGGAACAGACTGCTGAAGCCAATCTTAGCCTTACGAAAATCTTTAAAAATATTTTGTTTGTTGCTTGAAAGTAATGTTGCTGTAGTCGTGTTAGCAAATCGTTCTCTGTGAAACCAAATTTCTATAACATTCTATCTTTTTTATCTAATCTGTTATATTAAATCTCTGTTATAATAAATCTCTGTTTTATCAAGTATCTATTATATCAAATCTCTATTTATCAAATGTCTATTAAATTAAATGTTTATTAAATTAAAAAATTACAAATGATATTGTTGTTGTTCTATTGAAAGCTTATGTATTTGTGTCTTTGAGTGTGTCTTTGGATGTGTATTTTGTTATGAATGTGTATCTTTTGATTTGTTTTTGGTTGTGTATGTGTGTCCTTGTGTGTGTCAGACGCTGCCGTGGAAATGTCGTGTTTCGGGTTCGGGTTCACGTCTGTCGTGTGCCGGGTTCACGTCTGTCGTGTGCCGGGTTCACGTCTGTCGTGTGCCGGGTTCACGTCTGTCGTGTGCCGGGTTCACGTCTGTCGTGTGCCGGGTTCACGTCTGTCGTGTGCCGGGTTCACGTCTGTTGTGTGCGGGGTTCACGTCTGTCGTGTGCCGGGTTCACGTCTGTTGTGTGCCGGGTTCACGTCTGTCGTGTGCCGGGTTCACGTCTGTCGTGTGTCAGATCTCTGACGTCAGCAGCCGTCAGCTGCCGTTATCGACCTGACCTTGACCGTGGCTATCATGACACCTTGTTGTCTGACGTGATACGTACTTATACCAGGTCACGTGGTTCTCCCATTGGTAGCCAATCAGCGACAGTCCGTGTTTATTAAGTCGCTAATTAAGTCGCTAATTAGCATAGCGAGGTCAGTCGTGTAGTGTGTAGCGTGTAGCCAGCCACTGAGATCAGACTATACTCAGGTAAAAATGTTGTGACAACTTTTAATTTAAATTTACATAATTTAATTATATATTAATGTATGTTAACATATATGTTAATTTAATGTTTTAATGCTAATTCTAAGTAATGAAGATATTATCGGACTACACGTTCAAAAATAGTTTTTGTTTTCATTATGTCAACACCTGACGTAGCAACAGTTTATTTTGTTTACTCTTTCAAGGCTGAGATTTAAAAAAAAAAATTATCTTGATATAGATTAGAAATAAATTTAAAAAATTGTTTTCAATGTAACGTAAGGGAAGCAACTGTGTAAATTATCGAAGTGTCCTGGCTTGTTTCCCTTTACATTCAATGCCTAGTATGCATTTGTTGGGGTTGTAAATGAAAGTCTCCGTCTCTCACTTAAAATTCCAAATCGCGCTAGCCAGGTAGAGATAAGAATTTCCCAACTAAATTATTTGCCGTGAACATAAAAAAATTATCGACTATTAGTCTCTCGGCCTCGTTTTAAGATTTAAAATGGCCTGAGTACCGGAAATCGTACTAATTAAATAGAATCAAATTAAGTAACTACGTTTAGAGAAACGTGTTACTGATTCAAATAAATAAAAGCGGTACTCTTCTTTAAAAAAAATCACAATTTAAAGTAGGCTAAATTTGTCTATAGGTTACCCTACACCTTATAGCCTATCACTGTCACTGTTTACGATTTTAAACAACAATATCGGAAGAAACATTTCTATTTGTTTAGTTTTACCGATTTAAAAAAAAAAATATTCCAATTTGGTTTAAAGTACTAGCTGGCAAGTACGAGACGAGATGTTGGTGACCTACTTACCGGCCCTAGAGCCATGTAGGTTTTATTGAGCCGTAGAACTGGTGCTAAGGCTGTCTCTCGTCTCGGGTCTAGCGCTCTAGGCAGACAGACCACCCCATACAGTTTACAGACATCCCACAGGCAACCCCATACATAAGCAACCCCATACACAAGCAACCCCATACACAAGCAAGCAAATACTCAAGCAACCCAATATATAAGCACTTCCATAGAGAAAACGAAAACATTTTCGAATGTAAAATGCAAAGTGTGACATCACACTATCTGACCTCCCCCCCCCTCACCACGATTGGTCATAAAATTACGAGCCCCTCCCCCTAGTAGTGTGACGTCATTTATAGACGAGCTCTAATAAAAAAAAATGGACTGACCAGAAGACCAAATCTTTGATCTCGAGTAATTTGAGCAAAATGTTAACACAACTTTCTGCCAACTTTCTGCTAACTTTCTGCCAACTTTCTGCTAACTTTCTGCCAACTTTCTGCCAACTTTCTGCTAACTTTCTGCCAACTTTCTGCCAACTTTCTGCCAACTTTCTGCCAACTTTCTGCCAACTTTCTGCCAACTTTCTGCCAACTTTCTGCCAACTTTCTGCCAACTTTCTGCCAACTTTCTGCCAACTTTCTGCCAACTTTCTGCCAACTTTCTGCCAACTTTCTGCTAACTTTCTGCTAACTTTCTGCCAACTTTCTGCCAACTTTCTGCCAACTTTCTGCTAACTTTCTGCTAACTTTCTGCCAACTTTCTGCCAACTTTCTGCCAACTTTCTGCCAACTTTCTGCCAACTTTCTGCCAACTTTCTGCTAACTTTCTGCTAACTTTCTGCCAACTTTCTGCCAACTTTCTGCCAACTTTCTGCCAACTTTCTGCCAACTTTCTGCCAACTTTCTGCCAACTTTCTGCTAACTTTCTGCCAACTTTCTGCCAACTTTCTGCCAACTTTCTGCTAACTTTCTGCTAACTTTCTGCCAACTTTCTGCCAACTTTCAGGCCAATTGCAACAAACTTGAGATCCTAGCTCGCACAATGGGTGCCGGTACCGGGTCCGGCAAAGGCCGGCTGTGTCCGGGCATCATTTGGTCCTTCTGCTGGCTCGTGTTCCTCATCGTGTTCGGCTGGCCCGTGGCTTTCTTCATCGCCTGGCTCTACATCCTGCTGCTGCCCTTCAGCGCGTGCATTGACCCCGTCAAGAATGTGTGTGAGTCGATCCTAAAGGTCGTCCAGCTGCCCCTGACATGCGCAGAAGGCATCACGGACATGAAGCCGTTGTGCAAATAGTGGACATGCAATTCAGCTTTGTTTTAACGTCAATTTTCTTATTTCTGATGTTTTAACGCGTCAGCTTATTATTTGTGATATTTTAACGTCAGCTTATTATTTGTGATATTTTAATGTCAACTTATTATTTGTGATATTTTAATGTCAGTTTATTTTTTGTGATATTTTAACGTCAGCTTATTATTTGTGATATTTTAATGTCAACTTATTATTTGTGATATTTTAATGTCAGCTTATTATTTGTGATATTTTAATGTCAGCTTATTATTTGTGATATTTTAATGTCAGCTTATTATTTGTGATATTTTAACGTCAGCTTATTATTTGTGATATTTTAACGTCAGCTTATTATTTGTGATATTTTAATGTCAGCTTATTATTTGTGATATTTTAATGTCAGCTTATTATTTGTGATATTTTAATGTCAGCTTATTATTTGTGATATTTTAACGTCAGCTTATTATTTGTGATATTTTAATGTCAGCTTATTATTTGTGATATTTTAATGTCAGCTTATTATTTGTGATATTTTAACGTCAGCTTATTATTTGTGATATTTTAATGTCAGCTTATTATTTGTGATATTTTAATGTCAGCTTATTATTTGTGATATTTTAACGTTGTGATATGTAAATATTTACTTTGTCATTTTTATGTGAACAAATAAACTTTGGAACAGCAGACAATTAAATGTGCGTTGTTTACGAAATCTGTGACTTTACACAATACATCAACTTTAGATCTACAAAATGTGTGACTTTAGACAAGACAGCAGCTTTAGAGCCATAAATCTGTGACTTTAGAGAAATGTTTCCATATCTGGACCTGATGCCGTGTTATCAAACTGAAATGTTATCGCGTGATGACAGGAATGTTGCACACCATACATGTCGTTATCTTATAACCACAGCCGCTGTACCAACAGCCGTACCAACAGCCGTGCCAACAGCCGTGCCAACAGCCAGCAACAGCCTGTAATCACTTGAGACCAAATATTTTAACTGTGGCTATTGGTGGTACTCGATTGGTTGTCGTTATAGGTGGTAGTTGTTGGTGGTAGTTGTTGAATAAATAAAGTGAAATGTTTTGTGATGTGTGTGTTGTATTGTTGTGTGTGTTGTGTGTTTTGTTTTGTGTTGTGTTTGCTGTGTTGTGTTGTGTGTGTGTTGTGTTGTGTGTGTGTGTTGTGTATGGTGTGTGTTGTGTTGTGTGTGTTGTGTGTGTTGTGTTTGTGTTGTGTGTGTTTGGTGTATTGTGTGTGTTTGGTGTGTTGTGTGTGCTGTGTGTGTTATGTGTGTTACGTGTGTTGTGTGTCATTGGTGTGTTGTGTGTGTTGGGGTGTGTAGTGTGTCATTGGTGTGTTGTGTGTGTTGTGTTGCGTGTGTTTGGTGTGTTGTGTGTGTTGGGGTGTGTTGTGTGTGTTGTGTTGCGTATGTTTGGTGTGTTGTGTGTGTTGGGGTGTGTTGTGTGTGTTGTGTTGCGTATGTTTGGTGTGTTGTGTGTGTTGGGTGTGTTGTGTGTGTTGTGTGTGTTGTGTGAGTTATCTACTAGGTGTTGAATTTAAGCAAACTGATGTGATACATGGTGTGTAGGTGTGTATCACCAACATATAGCAATGTGTCACCAACATGTAGCAATGTGTCACCAACATGTAGCAATGTGTCACCAACCGCAACATGTAGCAATGTGTCACTAACATGTAGCAGTGTGTCACCAACATGTAGCAGTGTGACACCAACATGTAGCAGTGTGTCACCAACATGTAGCAATGTGTCACCAACATGTAGCAGTGTGTCACCAACATGTAGCAGTGTGACACCAACATGTAGCAGTGTGTCACCAACATGTAGCAGTGTGTCACCAACATGTAGCAATGTGTCACCAACATGTAGCAGTGTGTCACCAACATGTAGCAGTGTGTCACCAGCATGTAGCAGTGTGTCACCAACATGTAGCAGTGTGTCACCAACATGTAGCAATGTGTCACCAACCGCAACATGTAGCAATGTGTCACTAACATGTAGCAGTGTGTCACCAACATGTAGCAGTGTGACACCAACATGTAGCAGTGTGTCACCAACATGTAGCAATGTGTCACCAACATGTAGCAGTGTGTCACCAGCATGTAGCAATGTGTCACTAACATGTAGCAGTGTGTCACTAACATGTAGCAGTGTGTCACCAACATGTAGCAATGTGTCACCAAAACGTAGCAATGTGTCACCAACATGTAGCAATGTGTCACTAACATGTAGCAGTGTGTCACCAACATGTAGCAGTGTGTCACCAACATGTAGCAATGTGTCACCAAAACGTAGCAATGTGTCACCAACATGTAGCAATGTGTCACTAACATGTAGCAGTGTGTCACCAACATGTAGCAGTGTGTCACCAACATGTAGCAGTGTGTCACCATAACTGCCAGACACCAGACCTAGACATTTTAACCACGTGACCAAGGGAGACAAGAATGAAAACAACATCAACTTTTTTTGGTCCATTTCTTTACTTCCATATCACCAAGTAATTTAACAAAATCATTTGTGTAGGTTCAGGGGGGGGGGGGGGTAGGGGGATGGTATGGAGAGAGATGAACTGATGCTTGATACAGAGACAGAGAGAGATAGGGAGAGAGAGGGAGAGACACAGAGAGAGAGAGAGGGAGATATAGTGAGAGAGTGAGCCAGTATTGAGGTGTTGAAGAAAATGAAAACATGAATCAGGTACCAGATCCGGGTGTCCTGGTCACATTAGCTGGAATTAATGACGTCATCACTATCTACAAGACAAGATCTTTACAAGATCAGTTAGACATACATTTATATACAACCTCAGTTTATGATGACCTTTGCAAATGATGCGTTGTTCAATAGAATAATGGCAAACATTTTGGGAAGGCACTAAATGCGATTGCGAAATTTTAATGTCAACATTTCATTATAGGTCAGTTGTACATGAACCAGATAAAGGTGTACACTGGTCCATGTGTACATACACCCGGTTAAAGTATACACGAACCGCTTACATGTACGCATAGCCTGTCATTTGATCGATGACGTAATCTGTATCTGACAAGTCAATTTATCACAGAAGGGTTATCACGTGGTTGCTGATGTAAACAAAACAAAAAACATTTCACTGGGAACTTTAAGCTAAGCTAAGGGCCTATCTGCCATGTTGGGTTATAGAGGGCTTAACCGACTATAGGGGGCCCCAATCTACCATTGAATTAGGGCCCCAATCTACCATTGACTTAGGGCCCCAATCTGCTATTGACTTAGGGGCCCAAATCTACCATTGACTTAGGGCCCCAATCTACCATTGACTTAGGGCCCCAATCTACCATTGACTTAGGGGCCCAAATCTACCATTGACTTAGGGCCCCAATCTACCATTGACTTAGGGGCCCAAATCTACCATTGACTTAGGGGCCCAAATCTACCATTGACTTAGGGGCCCAAATCTACCATTGACTTAGGGGCCTAATCTACCATTGACTTAGGGGGCCCAATCTACCATTGACTTCGGGGCCCAAATCTACCATTGACATAAAATACACTGAGATTCAAAGAATTCTACACTTGGAACATGTAGCTTAAGACAGCAGCTAATTTTAAGCTTAATCTAATAATTAGAGAAATTAAAGCGACTGGCCCAATTACTGTCGCTACAATAAATTAGCTAGCCGAGGTCTGGGTGGTGACTAAACAGCCGAGAGATGACCTTTTGGTCTGAGACTGACCAACTACATCCAAAACATCACAGTGAAGGTTAATCAAATAAAGGTGGATATAGGTCTAATGGACACACTCAAAACATGCAGGTTAATTAGTGACAGCAATTATCAAAGTAAAATTATGCCAGTCAATTAGTTAAAAGACTGTTGAATAATACAGGTAAAATTGTGACATTTGTTATATGTAAAAAAAAAAATGTTGTGACATCAATTGCCGCCAAGTTTGTCGCCTCTGTAAAGTTTAGTTCTAGTTGTCGCTCCTGTAAAGTTTAGTTCTAGTTGTCGCCCCTGTAAAGTTTAGTTCTAGTTGTCGCCCCTGTAAAGTTTAGTCCTAGTTGTCGCCCCCGTAAAGTTTAGTCCTGGTTGTCGCCCTTGTAAAGTTTCTTGAGGTACGAGGTTCCGATCCAGCCGTTGCCCTGATGCTCCCCGCCCCCCTCCACAGGCTTCCTCTCCTCCTCCTCCTTCTCCCCCACCTCGTCGTTGCTGTACACGTCATCATCGTCCTTGACCCTGGTCCTTTCCTGAAGGTCAGTGAGTTTGTCAAGGATCTGACCTTGAGTTGTGGCCAGCATGGCTATCAGGGACTGGGTCTGGCTGACCTGCTGACTCAGCTCAGTCAGGCCAACTGACGCCTCCTCTACCCGGCACCGGGCCACCCGCGTCGACCGCATGGCCCGGATGGCGTTGCTCAGACGCCACGAGTAGTAGGTCACCTTGACCTGACTCTTCTTCGTGTGCTCACGCGCGAGCTTGTTCCTCCAGCTGTAGACCTTGACCGCGTTCTTGATGACGTCAGCGGCGGCGTTCTTCCGCTTATGCTCCAGGTGTATGATGGACAGGTAGTTGTAGACGTAGCGCTCGGCCCGTGTCTGCTCCATCTTCTTGGCCACCACGGCCACCAGCAGGGCCGTCGAGCCCAGCCCCATCAGCCCCGTCACCACGGCGATGAAGCGGCCGCAGTGGGTGCGGGGGGTCAGGTCGCCGTAGCCGACGGTCAGGAAGGTGATGGCTGAGAGCCACATGGACTCTGAGAAGCTGTGAGCGTCGGTGATGCTGGTGTAGTAGAGCTCGCATGTCCGCATGGCCCACACGCTGACCGTGTACATGGAGATCATGCTGAACGCGATGACCTTGCCAGGGTGGTCGGCCATTGCGGCCTTGAAGACGAAGAAGAGGTCAATCTTGACATGACTGACGGCTGAGATGGTCTGGGTCGACTGGTCAGTCAGCAGGGAGGAGTGGACCACCAGGAACCGTCCTGGAGAGTAATGGCAGCATTAGCACATGACATTTGGAAGAATTAGCCCATGACATTTGGGAACATTGGCACATGACATTTGACAGCATTAGCACCTGACATTTGAAAGCATTAGCACCTGATATTTGGGAGCATTAGCACATGACATTTGGGAGCAATAGCACATGACATTTGGGAGCATTAGTACCTGACATTTGGGAGAATTAGCACCTGACATTTGGGAGCATCATCATCTAAACATAATCTAAACATCATCTGAACATCATCTAAAAATTATCTGAACATAATCTGAACATCATCTTGATGAATCAGTCTAAGATGTCAAACTTACCGACGAGATAGAGACGAAACATCATGATGACGGACAGGATGCCATCAATGTGCACGCGCTCTACGTCACCAGCCACTGACGACATGTAGACCTTGACGTCACCAGGAAACGGGTGGACGGCGCAGACGAGAAGTTCGGTGAGCAGGCAGAACCAGGTGCTGGCAGACATCACGGCTGGGGGAGGGGACGTCATGTTTTAGTGAAACTTTAGGCGTCACAGTAAGGTGGAGTCAGGCGTCACAGTAGGGTGGAGTCAGGCGTCACAGTAGGGGGGAGTCAGGCGTCACAGTAGGGGGGAGTCAGGCGTCACAGTAGGGGGGAGTCAGGCGTCACAGTTGGGTGGAGTCAGGCGTCACAGTAGGGTGGAGTCAGGCGTCACAGTAGGGTGGAGTCAGGCGTCACAGTAGGGTGGAGTCAGGCGTCACAGTAGGGTGGAGTCAGGCGTCACAGTAGGGTGGAGTCAGGCGTCACAGTAGGGTGGAGTCAGGCGTCACAGTAGGGTGGAGTCAGGCGTCACAGTAGGGGGGAGTCAGGCGTCACAGTAGGGTGGAGTCAGGCGTCACAGTAGGGTGGAGTCAGGCGTCACAGTAGGGTGGAGTCAGGCGTCACAGTAGGGTGGAGTCAGGCGTCACAGTAGGGGGGAGTCAGGCGTCACAGTAGGGTGGAGTCAGGCGTCACAGTAGGGTGGAGTCAGGCGTCACAGTAGGGTGGAGTCAGGCGTCACAGTAGGGTGGAGTCAGGCGTCACAGTAGGGGGGAGTCAGGCGTCACAGAAGGGTGGAGTCAGGCGTCACAGTAATGAGCAAGGCCATGTCTAGAGGGGCTGTTATTGTGTTTAACTTTTGTCTATAGGGGCTGTTCTTGTGTCACAGTAAGGTGGAGTCAGGCGTCACAGTAGGGGGGAGTCAGGCGTCACAGTAGGGTGGAGTCAGGCGTCACAGTAGGGGGGAGTCAGGCGTCACAGTTGGGTGGAGTCAGGCGTCACAGTAGGGTGGAGTCAGGCGTCACAGTAGGGTGGAGTCAGGCGTCACAGTAGGGTGGAGTCAGGCGTCACAGTAGGGGGGAGTCAGGCGTCACAGTAGGGTGGAGTCAGGCGTCACAGTAGGGTGGAGTCAGGCGTCACAGTAGGGTGGAGTCAGGCGTCACAGTAGGGTGGAGTCAGGCGTCACAGTAGGGGGGAGTCAGGCGTCACAGAAGGGTGGAGTCAGGCGTCACAGTAATGAGCAAGGCCATGTCTAGAGGGGCTGTTATTGTGTTTAACTTTTGTCTATAGGGGCTGTTCTTGTGTTACATTAACTTTTGTCTATAGGGGCTGTTATTGTGTTACATTAACTTTTGTCTAGAGGGGCTGTTATTGTGTTACATTAACTTTTGTCTATAGGGGCTGTTATTGTGTTACATTAACTTTTGTCTATAGGGGCTGTTATTGTGTAATGTGTTACATTAACTTTTGTCTATAGGGGCTGTTATTGTGTTACATTAACTTTTGTCTATAGGGGCTGTTATTGTGTTACATTAACTTTTGTCTATAGGGGCTGTTATTGTGTTACATTAACTTTTGTCTATAGGGGCTGTTATTGTGTATTGTGTTACATTAACTTTTGTCTATAGGGGCTGTTATTGTGTTACATTAACTTTTGTCTATAGGGGCTGTTATTGTGTAATGTGTTACATTAACTTTTGTCTATAGGGGCTGTTATTGTGTTACATTAACTTTTGTCTATAGGGGCTGTTATTGTGTAATGTGTTACATTAACTTTTGTCTAGAGGGGCTGTTATTGTGTTACATTAACTTTTGTCTATAGGGGCTGTTCTTGTGTTACATTAACGTTTGTCTATAACATGGGCTGTTATTGTGTTACATTAACTTTTGTCTATAGGGGCTGTTATTGTGTTACATTAACTTTTGTCTATAGGGGCTGTTATTGTGTTACATGTCATCTTGACCTATACAGCAATTAACTGATGAAATTATCGACCACTTGTCCGACTTTAATTACGTCGGCCAATAATGAACTCACGAGGTAAGTAATCAAACTAAAAATAGAGATGAGCTCATCGAGGGTAATGTTCTCTGTTACCTCCAGGGTCACGGTGACATGGGTCAAATACTTAAGACCCCCTCCTGCCTCGGTATAGGCTCATTGTGACATTTGTCACCCCCTTCACCCCCCCCCCCCCCCACGTTCCGCTACACTGAGGGACTCACATCCCCCCTACCACCCCCCACCCCCTGTACTTACCCAGAGGGTCATCCACTTTAGCGTCCAGCATCTTGATCTCTGCCCCCGTATGGTAGTAGAGGCATATGCCCACCAGCAGAATGCCCGTACTTATTGAGACGAAGAGCTTCAGCATGACAGACACCATCGAATCTTTCTCTGGTGAAATATTGGTAGGTGAGTTGGTCATACAACATTTGTTGGTCATACATTTGTTGGTCATACATTTGTTGGTCATACAACTTTTGTTGGTCATACAACACTTGTAGGTCATACAAAATTTGTAGGTCATACAAAATGTGTAGGTCATACAAATTTTGTTGGTCATACAACTTTTGTTGGTCATACATTTGTTGGTCATACATTTGTTGGTCATACTACATGTGTTGGTCATACAAATTTTGTTGATCATACATTTGTTGGTCATACATTTGTTGGTCATACAACATTTGTTGGTCATACAACTTTTGTTGGTCATACAACTTTTGCAGGACATAAAATTCGCTTTAATCTTAAACATAAATATTTTTTGTTATACAAAAAAACAACTTTAGTTGCTAACTGAATATAATCGATACATTAAAAACGAAGTTTATGATTAACATTTGATCCCCATTAAATTAGTAACATTTAATCGATCAAAGGGGATCAGTTTTTACACCTAATTAATTAGCATAATTCGATGGGCTGTGACCTCTCCAGGTGATGCCATATTTGGCCCAAGCTGTGACACGACACACATCACTGAACTCTAATTAGGACAAGTTGTTAATTAATTAAAAACACCTGTCTGATACAGGGCGATAACATGATGTTGACACAATCTTCACAATCATTGATTGTTGCCTTCATCTCAATGTTTTGATCAACACGATTCGTTCGAACGTTTCAAATTACAAAAGTATATGTTTTAAATTGTTAGAATTCATGTTTTAAATTGTTCTACACAATATACAAGGTATATATATATATATATATATATATATATATATATATATATATATATATATACATATCTGTTAGCTGGTACTGTATTGTTGATTCTTAAGTAAGCAGGTTGGCTGGGGATTTTAATTGGTTGTTACATTTTACTTTTTTTTTGGTAGTTGTATTGTTATTGTGTTTGGTAGTAGCTGGCTTGAGTAATGTTTCCCCCACCCCCAGACCACAAGATGGCGCCCGGTTCTCACGGCGCGGGGGTCTGCCATGGTGGCACCAGGTAATTTATGAGCGTTCGCAGTCGTGGACTGCGGCCGTAGATCAGCTTGACCGGACCATAGGTGTGGGCATGTTTGTGTGTTTCCATTTAATGTATATAGTATATAAAGTATATAGAGTGATGATATTGTTATATGTTCTGATTGTTGTAACACTGTAATCTATTGTATCGTCCGTAATATGTAATAAAGGTATGGGTTCACACGTTTCATTTATAGTTTAATATTGGTGTTGTTTAGATGTGCAAATTAGTTTTCCTCAGGTCTGGTAAACCTCCTTGACCAACAAGGATGCACGGATGTGAGAGAAAAAAACCATCACCATATCTCTCTTCATCGGTAACTCAACCCCCACCTTACATATAGATATTCATATGTATATATATATATATATATATATATATATATATATATATATATATATATATATATATATATATATATATATATATATATATATATATATAAAATATAAAATAATATAAGGCGGAGTTTCTTCCCACATTAAAATAAAACCAGGTGAGACATGCAAGCGTCATGCAAAAAGTTTGTTACCTGCCGTTCTTGGGTCTTGTTGAAAAGAAGTTGAAAAAAAATCACGAGTTAGAAAATAGGTTATGGACACTGGTTAACGTGACACTGGTTAACGTGACACTAGGACTTACGTGTCACTAGGACTAATGTAACACTAGGACTAACGTGACAATATGACTAACGTGACACTAGGACTAACGTGATACTAGGACTAACGTGACACTAGGATTAACGTGACACTAGGACTAACGTGACACTAGGACTAACGTGACACTAGGACTAACGTGACACTAGGTCTAACGTGACACTAGGACTAACGTGAGACCAAACAATATATAGGAGATATCTTGGTTTCCTTCTAAAGCTTTAACTTTCAGTGCTGACGTCATCAACTTACCGGAAGCGTCAAGGTAATACAACTCATTTTCCGCCACCATCAGCACGATACCAATAACAGCAACAGCCAACATCAGGTCAACCAACCAGCGTCGTCTCTGTGGATAGAAGGATGGAGATGGTAGAGGTGGGATGGTAGAGGTGGGATGGTAGAGGTGGAATGGTAGAGGTGGAATGGTAGAGGTGGGATGGTAGAGGTGGGATAGTACAGGTGGGATGGTACAGGTGAGATGGTAGAGGTGGGATGGTACAGGTGGGATGGTAGAGGTGGAATGGTAGAGGTGGAATGGTAGAGGTGGGATGGTAGAGGTGGGATAGTACAGGTGGGATGGTACAGGTGAGATGGTAGAGGTGGGATGGTACAGGTGGGATGGTAGAGGTGGAATTGTAGAGGTGGAATGGTAGAGGTGGGATGGTAGAGGTGGGATGGTACAGATGAGATGGTAGAGGTGGGATGGTACAGGTGGGATGGTAGAGGTGGGATGGTACAGGTCAGACGGTAGAGGTGGGATTGTACAGGTGGGATGGTACAGGTGAGATGGTACAGGTGGGATGGTACAGGTGGGATGGTACAGGTAGGATGGTACAGGTGGGATGGTACAGGTGGGATGGTACAGGTGGGATGGTACATGTGGGATGGTACAGGTAGGATATAACAGGTGGAATGGTAGAGGTGGGATGGTAGAGGTAGGATGGTAGAGGTGGGATGGTAGAGGTGGGATGGTACAGGTGGGATGGTAGAGGTGGGATGGTAGAGGTGGGATGGTAGAGGTGGGATGGTAGAGGTGGGATGGTAGAGGTGGGATGGTAGAGGTCAGATGGTACAGGTGGGATGGTGAGTTTAGAGGCAGGTGTCGGTTAACACTGAACTGCTAAACTTTCCCCCAACCTCCACCCCCCCCCCCAATCTTCATCTCCCTCCCCTACTTCTTTTTCTCAGCCACCCCCAACCCCGCTCCCCCCCCCCCCCCTAAAGAACCACGACAGGCGTGCCGGTATGTTCCACTGATTATCAATGGCGTCCTAAATTTAATCCCGTGGCTATTTATAGAACACAATAGATGACACAAATGACAGGCGTAGAGCGTGACGTCACACTCACTGCTGATATCTGCAGCTTGTTTAAAATTGAGCGAGCGACGTCACCCCCCCCCCCCCCCCCCCCCCCCCAGGACTTACCAACAAAAGATGTTTCCTGTGCTCTATCCGGGCTCCCAGCTTCTTGGTGAACATGGCTCTGGGCTCGGGGCTCCTGTCCGGCACCAGTGTCAGGTCCACGTACTGTGACGTCACTGGCCTGTTCCTGTCGGGGACCAATGGGATGGTTTGTTCTCTCACCACGTGACTGCCATCAAAGTTCATCTTCCTGCATCACACGCGCAAAACAGAAGCGTAAGGCATAATACATCAGAGTATATACACCATCTAACACACACCATCTGACACACACCATCTGACATCTGACACACACCATCTGACACACACCATCTGACACACCATCTGACACACCATCTGACACACACCATCTGACACACACCATCTGACATCTGACACACACCATCTGACATCTGACACACACCATCTGACACACACCATCTGACACACACCATCTGACACACCATCTGACACACACCATCTGACACACACCATCTGACACACCATCTGACACACCATCTGACACACACCATCTGACACACACCATCTGACATCTGACACACACCATCTGACACACACCATCTGACATCTGACACACACCATCTGACACACACCATCTGACATCTGACACACACCATCTGACACACACCATTTGACATCTGACACACACCATCTGACACACACCATCTGACATCTGACACACACCATCTGACACACACCATCTGACACACCATCTGACACACACCATCTGACACACACCATCTGACACACCATCTGACACACACCATCTGACACACCATCTGACACACACCATCTGACACACACCATCTGACACACCATCTGACACACACCATCTGACACACACCATCTGACATCTGACACACACCATCTGACACACACCATCTGACACACCATCTGACACACACCATCTGACACACCATCTGACACACACCATCTGACACACCATCTGACACACACCATCTGACACACCATCTGACACACCATCTGACACACACCATCTGACACACCATCTGACACACACCATCTGACACACACCATCTGACACACACCATCTGACACACACCATCTGACACACACCATCTGACACACACCATCTGACACACTCATATGTAACCATTAACCTTTAGCCAGTAAGCAGCCCCCCCACCCCAGAAACCGGATGCCCCCCCCCACCCCCTCAGACACCGGTTGCCCCCCCCCCCCCCACCACCACACCATGCAGCCAATGAGCAGCGTCAGATGACACCGCTCAACATGGGCAACATTATATGTCCTACAAAATACGTCCTCATATTAATGTCCTACAACATATGTCCTCATATTAATGTCCTACAACATACGTCCTTATATTAATGTCCTACAACATATGTCCTTATATTAATGTCCTACAAAATACGTCCTTATATTAATGTCCTACAAAATACGTCCTTATATTAATGTCCTACAACATATGTCCTCATATTATTGTCCTACAACATATGTCCTCATATTAATGTCCTACAACATATGTCCTCATATTAATGTCCTACAACATATGTCCTCAAATTAATGTCCTACAACATATGTCCTTATATTAATGTCCCACCCCTTGTCCTATGTCTTCCATGTTCCTTGTACTACAATCCAACATTCATATTCTATTAAACTGTAACTAACTACTATCCTAACTATGTCGCAACCATGTCCTACTGATGTCCTATAAATGTCCTGCTAATGTCCTACTACTGTATGATATAAGTTATACTATTGTTGTAATATTCTTCTACTCATGTCTTACAAAATAGCAACTAATGTCTTACTATTGTCCTACTAATGTCTTATAAAAGCCTTATCATCTCAATAAATGACCTATTAATGTCCTGTGTATACCCTACAAATGTCATAATGTCCTACGACTACCCTACTCATGCCTTTCTTATGCTCAAAGTCCTATAAATGTTTTTGTAATATCCTATTAATGACCTACAAATATCCTACTAATGTCCCACTAATGTCCTACTATTGTCCTACAAATGTTCTATTAATGTCCTCCTTATGTCCTACTAACGTCCTATTAATGTCCTACTCATGTCCTACGATAAATATCTATCCCACCTGTTGACCGGAGTACAAGATAAGCGGACATCACGTGATCTTAAGGTCAAAAATTCTCCACTGACCTGAGAAGACACTTGCTGATGACGTAACGTAGGACGGCCAAAAGGACCATATCGATAGGTCCAGGTGTGCGTACAGGTGAGTGTACAGGTGAGCGTACACGTGCGTGTACACGTGAGTGTAGAGTACTAAGCCATTAGCACGGACGTGCTAGCACCCCAGCTGATCTACAATAGCTGGCTGACTAACGAGTCATTAGTAGTCACACCTGACCGTTTCACTCGCGTCATGGAACAGTACATCGCGCCGTAATTAGACCCAAGTTTGGATCTAATCAATTAGCTCATTCTATTAATAGATCTAAAACTAAGGGAAGTCACTCTCATCATAACAATAAAATAAAATACAGATGTAAGTTGTAACTAGTCCACTGTGATAGCTGAGGTATATATATATATATATATATATATATATATATATATATATATATATATATATATATATATATATATATATATATATATATATATATATATATATAAAGTTAGTTATCACCTGTATCCCAGTCTCCTAGTCTCAGTCAAATAGATGACCAATTGGACCTTCTTACGTGTACACAAATAGATGACCAACTGGACCTTTTGACGTGTACACAAATAGATGACCAACTGGACCTTCTGACGTGAACACAACCCTGTGGTGATGCGGCGCAATGACGTCAGCACGTAGATGCAGGGACACATGAGAGAGGGGGTGGGCCAGGGAACAAGTGACCCGTGGGGTGGTCCAGTGGCCCACATCGTCAGACCGACGAGGATAACGACATCAGATAACTTTATCTCACCACGTGACGTGAGACAGATATACTGACAGTTACACAGGGAGATAATGACATATTTGACAACTGTCATTACCAGTAGGTCTGACATCTAAATGTCATCGGCAACTGAGTGCTCATGTCAACTATATGTCACCCACGGTTAACTGTCACTGACAGCGAAACGCCACTGTCAACTAAAATGCTTATGTAAATTAAATGTCACTATCAACTAAAATGCATATGTAAATTAAACGTCACTACCAACAAAAAGCCACTATCAATAAAATGCCACTACCAACAAAATGCCACTATCAAAAAAATGGAACTAACAACAAAATGCCACTATCCACAAAATGCCACCAGTTCGTAAAGTTGTGATATCGTGTCAGTGTACCAACGTTCACCAGCATAGATGGGTACTTGTTAGGGCAGAGTTGGCTCTGGGACTTGCTATCAATATTTAGCCACGGTTGTAAACCCATAATATAAAGCCACTACTTTAAAACCCATAATATAAAGCCATGAATATGAAGTCATGATATAAACTCTTATTAAGCGATATTAGAAAGCCAAAATATTAACTCACTATATAAACCCATAATATAAAGCCATGATTATCAGCAGCTACAGTAAAGCCATGATATAAACCCACCATATAAAGCCATGATATACAGCAACCATATAAAGCCACCATATAAAGCCACTACATTATAGCCATAATATAAAGCCACCATATAAAGCCATGATATACAGCAACCATATAAAGCCACCATATAAAGCCACTACATTATAGCCATAATATAAAGCCACCATATAAAGCCATGATATACAGCAACCATATAAAGCCACCATATAAAGCCACTACATTATAGCCATAATATAAAGCCACTACAGTAAAGCCACTACAGTAAAGCCATAATATAAAGCCACTACAGTAAAGCCATAATATAAAGCCACTACAGTAAAGCCATAATATAAAGCCATAATATACAGCAACCATATAAACCCACCATATAAAGCCATGATATACAGCAACCATATAAAGCCACCATATAAAGCCACTACATTATAGCCATAATATAAAGCCACTACAGTAAAGCCATGACATAAAGCCACTACAGTAAAGCCATAATATAAACCCACCATATAAAGCCACCATATAAAGCCACTACAGTAAAGCCACTACAGTAAAGCCATAATATAAAGCCACTACAGTAAAGCCATAATATAAAGCCACTACAATAAAGCCACTACAGTAAAGCCATAATATAAAGCCATTAAGGCGGCAGAGATTGTTTCCCTACCTGAGACTGGAACATTTTAAGCAGCTTTCTGACAGTGCGGTAATCCATGGGATCAAGGATACAGCCGTAAAAAAACGGAGTCAAATGTAGCCGAGGTGAGCACTAGTTGAGTACTAGTCCGCTGGTGTAGGTGAGGGAATGCTCGCTCATGAATTGAACATGACTTTAATCGCACACCAGATGTTGCCACCTCCCCGCCCACTTAACGTCACCTCTGGTATAGGGCGCTCACTGGGTTAATGGTATAGGGCGCTCGCTGGGTTAATGGTGTAGGGCGCTCGTGGTGTCAATGGTATAGGGCGCTCGCTGGGTCACTGGTATAGGGCGCTCGCTGGGTTAATGGTATAGGGCGCTCACTGGGTTAATGGTGTAGGGCGCTCGCGGTGTCACTGGTATAGGGCGCTCACTGGGTTAATGGTGTAGGGCGCTGGCTGGGTCACTGGTATAGGGCGCTCACTGGGTTAATGGTGTAGGGCGTTCGCTGGGTTAATGGTGTAGGGCGTTCGCTGGGTTAATGGTGTAGGGCGCTCACTGGGTTAATGGTGTAGGGCGCTCGCGGTGTCACTGGTATAGGGCGCTCACTGGGTTAATGGTGTAGGGCGTTCGCTGGGTTAATGGTGTAGGGCGTTCGCTGGGTTAATGGTGTAGGGCGTTCGCTGGGTTAATGGTGTAGGGCGCTCACTGGGTTAATGGTGTAGGGCGCTCGCGGTGTCACTGGTATAGGGCGCTCGCTGGGTTAATGGTGTAGGGCGTTCGTTGGGTTAATGGTGTAGGGCGTTCGCGGTGTCACTGGTATAGGGCGCTCGCGATGTCAATGGTATAGGGCGCTCGCGATGTCAATGGTATAGGGCGCTTGCTGGGTCACTGGTATAGGGCGCACGCACAGTCACTGGTATAGGGCGCTCGCACAGTTACTGGTATAGGGCGCTCGCACAGTTACTGGTATGTCCCCAAATGTCCCCCATGTCTAAATGTCCAACACGTCCTAATGTCCTGCATATTTGTATTCACTTTACGACACATAGAACACGTGGCACATGTTTAGCTTGTTGCAACATTATGAAACTTGTTTTATCAGCGATCTTTGAATATATGTGCGATACTATTTACGCGGTATAACTATATACACGGTATAACTATATACACGGTATAACTATATACACGGTATAACTATATACACGGTATAACTATATACATGGTATAACTATATACACGGTACAACTATATACACGGTATAACTATATACACAGTATAACTATATACACGGTATAACTATATACACGGTATAACTATATACTCGGTACAACTATATACACGGTATAACTATATACACGGTATAACTATATACACGGTACAACTATATACACGGTATAACTATATACACGGTATAACTATATACACGGTATAACTATATACACGGTACAACTATATACACGGTATAACTATATACACGGTATAACTATATATACGGTATAACTATATACACGGTATAACTATATACACGGTATAACTATATGCACGGTATAACTATATGCACGGTATAACTATATACACGGTATAACTATATACACGGTATAACTATATACACGGTATAGCTCACGTACATCTTTTGGCAACTACTGATAAAAACGTTAGCTGTTGACAAAATGTTGGTATTTACGGTATTGTGGTTTATCGGTGATCAAGCCTTGAATTGTCAGTGACAGGTCAGTTAGTGACAGTTTGGTCAGTGACAGGTCAGTGACAGGTCAGTGACAGGTTAGTGACAGGTCAGTGACAGGTCAGTGAATGGTCAGTGACAGGTCAGTGACAGGTCAGTGAAAGGTCAGTGACAGGTCAGTGACAGGTCAGTGAAAGGTCAGTGACAGGTCAATAACAGGTCAGTGACAGGTCAGTTAGTGACATTCTGGTCAGTGACATGTCATGTTGTTCACTTGTCTGTCTCCCGCCATCCAGTAAACCTTACACGTGACAAGATGGACGTGACTCACTTTTGTCACATTGTCACATCCATGACCCCAGGTGGGGGGGGGGGGTCAGTTGTGACCAAAACGGAACTAAGACTTTTAGGTTAACAAACACGTGATCAAACGGGGGGGGGGGAGGTGGACACTGTTAAAAGTAAATATTTTCTATATAAATTCCATTTCGCCCGAAGAGATGCCAGGAAGAAACCAGAGTTTCTTCCAGGCATCTCTTCGGGGGGTCCGAAGCCCCCCGAATAATTTTTTACCGCCCCCCCCCCCCCCGAACGAAATGAAATTTATATAATTTATATAGAAAATATATACTTTTAACAGTGTCCGCCCCCCCGAAGAAAGTCTACCGCCCCCCCCCCGAAAATTTCAAGTGCCCCACCCCCCCCCCCCCCCCCGGAGAAAAAAGTCTGGAAGAAACACTGGAAGAAACTCTGCTCACGCCTTTCAATATAAATTGAATCAGTTGGTTACAAGTTAATAAAACGTTGAAGTCAGTCTAATCTAAGACGTTCAAGTGGTGAGGTTGGATAACAAACTGAAACTTTTACAATTAAATGAACGCCAGCGTGTGGTAGAGTGTTTGGTGGCACCCATCAGGCTGGTGGTGACGATTACAGGAAAAAAAGTCACAGGAAAAAAAGTCACAGGAAAAAAAGTCACGGGAAAAAATGTCACAGGAAAAAAAGTCACAGGAAAAAAAAGTCACAGGGAAAAAAGTCACAGGAAAAAAAGTCAAAGACACTCAATAAGTTGGTGGTGACACTCAATACGTTGGTGGTGACACTCAATAAGTTGGTGGTGACACTCAATAAGTTGGTGGTGACACTCAATAAGTTGGTGGTACCACTCAATAAGTTGGTGGTACCACTCAATACGTTGGTGGTGACACTCAATAAGTTGGTGGTGACACTCAATACGTTGGTGGTGACACTCAATACGTTGGTGGTGACACTCAATACGTTGGTGGTGACACTCAATACGTTGGTGGTGACACTCAATACGTTGGTGGTGACACTCAATACGTTGGTGGTGACACTCAATACGTTGGTGGTGACACTCAATAAGTTGGTGGTGACACTCAATACGTTGGTGGTGACACTCAATACGTTGGTGATGACACTCAATACGTTGGTGGTGACACTCAATAGGTTGGTGGTGACACTCAATACGTTGGTGGTGACACTCAATAAGTTGGTGGTGACACTCAATAAGTTGGTGGTGACACTCAATACGTTGGTGGTGACACTCAATAAGTTGGTGGTGACACTCAATACGTTGGTGGTGACACTCAATAAGTTGGTGGTGACACTCAATACGTTGGTGGTGACACTCAATAAGTTGGTGGTGACACTCAATAAGTTGGTGGTGACACTCAATAAGTTGGTGGTGACACTCAATAAGTTGGTGGTGACACTCAATACGTTGGTGGTGACACTCAATAAGTTGGTGGTGACACTCAATAAGTTGGTGGTGACACTCAATAAGTTGGTGGTGACACTCAATAAGTTGGTGGTGACACTCAATAAGTTGGTGGTGACACTCAATAAGTTGGTGGTGACACTCAATAACTTGATGGTGACACTCAATAAGTTGGTGATGACACTCAATAAGTTGGTGGTGACACTCAATAAGTTGGTGGTGACACTCAATAAGTTGGTGGTGACACTCAATAAGTTGGTGGTGACACTCAATAAGTTGGTGGTGACACTCAATAAGTTGGTGGTGACACTCAATAAGTTGGTGGTGACACTCAATAAGTTGGTGGTGACACTCAATAAGTTGGTGGTGACACTCAATAAGTTGGTGGTGACACTCAATAAGTTGGTGGTGACACTCAATAAGTTGGTGGTGACACTCAATAAGTTGGTGGTGACACTCAATAAGTTGGTGGTGACACTCAATAAGTTGGTGGTGACACTCAATAAGTTGGTGGTGACACTCAATAAGTTGGTGGTGACACTCAATAAGTTGGTGGTGACACTTAATAAGTTGATGGTGACACTCAATAAGTTGGTGGTGACACTCAATAAGTTGGTGGTGACACTCAATAAGTTGGTGGTGACACTCAATAAGTTGGTGGTGACACTCAATAAGTTGGTGGTGACACTCAATAAGTTGGTGGTGACACTCAATAAGTTGGTGGTGACACTCAATAAGTTGGTGGTGACACTCAATAAGTTGGTGGTGACACTCAATAAGTTGGTGGTGACACTCAATAAGTTGGTGGTGACACTCAATAAGTTGGTGGTGACACTCAATAAGTTGGTGGTGACACTCAATAAGTTGGTGGTGACACTCAATAAGTTGGTGGTGACACTCAATAAGTTGGTGGTGACACTCAATAAGTTGGTGGTGACACTCAATAAGTTGGTGGTGACACTCAATAAGTTGATGGTGACGTTACAGAGAGGTGACTTTAGGATACCGGATGAGCAGAAAGTTACAGTAACTTTCTTACTACAATTAACGCTCAAACTTTCAGCGTGAGGTGAACTACGGTAGAGTTGTCACTAACTAGTGTGTGCTTGCGAAATCACCTTTTTATGTGGGCTTTTTATTTCCCAAGAGCTTTGGTAACCGATTTTAGTTCAAATTATGACCCGGTCACATTGATTTTAAATTTTGATCTATACCGTCTGGTGGAGTGGGGGGGGGGTATGTGAAAACATCGATACAGTGATGTGTGTTGTGTGTTTGTTAGAAATGTGTTCATGTGTAGCTACTGCGTCAATGTGTTACTATTATGTCGATATGTTGTGTGTTTGTTAGAAATGTGTTCATGTGTAGCAACTGTGTCAATGTTTTGCTATTTTGTCGATGTATAGCTACTGTGTCGACGTGTTGTGTGTTGCTGTTATGTAGACGTGTTGTGGGTGATAAAAACTTACCGAAGTTTGAAAAATGCGGCCATGTTTTTCTTCGTGACGTCACCCTGTTTGGATCGTCCCATCATGCTTCACTCTCCAGGCGACGATTGGTCAGTTTTCAAAGATGGCCGCGTTACTGGCAGGAACACACTGACACGTCGTGGTGACTGACACACGGCCACACCTGACCGTCAGGCCGTATCCCAGTCAATTCACATCCGTGGCCGTCAAAGGTAACAACCCCCACCCCCACCCCCACCCCCACCCTCACCTCATCGATCTGAGCAGACGATATCGACCTGCGAATTATGGCCCTGTGGTCCACTGTAAACAATCTAGTGACGTAGATTGACAGGCAGAATGACGTCATACAACAGATGACAGCCATATTCTTGCAGACGATAACTCCAGGTTTTGTCAAACCCAGCAGACAACATGTACGCACCCCCCCCCCCTCCAGGGTCCGGCTGGTCACGGTCTGGTGAGTGTGGGAACCGGTTGATGGTCGTGGTGTGTAGGCCAGTGTGTGGTGTGCTTGAGAGGGGTGAGGGGTGCATGAGAGGGGTGAGGGGTGCATGAGAGGGGGTGAGGGGTGAGGGATTGAGATATATCACGGCAGAATGTTTGTGATCCCCCCCCCACCCCTCCCCAGCACCAGATGGTGATAATCCACTAAAGACGCCGTAGATTATCCCAGATTGATTCAATCGAAAACTGCACATTGTGTGCTAGACCCACTTCTTCACATGTGCGTCTACTGCTGGTGTGTTAGGCTAGTGTAAAATGTGAAGTTGTGTTTTAGACTTCTGACGTCATCATTACTGTGTACTAGTTGACAACGGTTGATAAAAAAAACAACAAAGAAGACGTTGCTCGTTGTTTGATCATGGTTCAAAACTTTAAAAACTTTTTATCAACAATTCATTTGATGCACAATCATTTGGTCACTCATTAAAATAGACACGTGACACAGTCACTTATTCAACCAAGCGCTAAAACAATCATTCAACACAACAGATTCAATCATTCAAATGTTTCAACCAAGGGCTAAAACAATCACTCAACAACAGATTCAATCATTCAAAAGTTTCAACCAAGCGCTAAAACAATCACTCAACACAACAGATTCAATCATCGATATGTTTCAACCATGCGCTAAAACAATCACTCAACACAACAGATTCAATCATTCAAAAGTTTCAACCAAGCGCTAAAACAATCACTCAACACAACAAATTCAATCATTGATATGTTTCAACCATGCGCTAAAACAATCACTCAACACAACAGATTCAATCATTCAAAAGTTTCAACCAAGCGCTAAAACAATCACTCAACACAACAGATTCAATCATTGATATGTTTCAACCATGCGCTAAAACAATCACTCAACACAACAGATTCAATCATTCAAAAGTTTCAACCAAGCGCTAAAACAATCACTCAACACAACAAATTCAATCATTGATATGTTTCAACCATGCGCTAAAACAATCACTCAACACAACAGATTCAATCATTCAAAAGTTTCAACCAAGCGCTAAAACAATCACTCAACACAACAGATTCAATCATTGATATGTTTCAACCATGCGCTAAAACAATCACTCAACACAACAGATTCAATCATTCAAAAGTTTCAACCAAGCGCTAAAACAATCACTCAACACAACAGATTCAATCATTGATATGTTTCAACCAAGGGCTAAAACAATCACTCAACACAACAGATTCAATCATTCAAAAGTTTCAACCAAGCGCTAAAACAATCACTCAACAACAGATTCAATAATTGAGATGTTTCAACCAAGCGCTAAAACAATCACTCAACACAACAGATTCAATAATTGAGATGTTTCAACCAAGCGCTAAAACAATCACTCAACACAACAGATTCAATAATTGAGATGTTTCAACCAAGCGCTAAAACAATCACTCAACACAACAGATTCAATAATTGAGATGTTTCAACCAAGCGCTAAAACAATCACTCAACACAACAGATTCAATAATTGAGATGTTTCAACCAAGCGCTAAAACAATCACTCAACACAACAGATTCAATCATTGAGATGTTCACACAATGCCCAGTAACTTAAACAAATGTCAATCAAAGCGCCAACAAAATAGCACATGTCATCCAGCTGTGAGCTGAGTCAGCTAATGTCAGTACCCAGCAGCTAGTCCAGCAGGTAGTGCGTGAAGTCAGACATGGCCAGAAACCTCTGAAGTTTCCCGGGGAGGGGCAGGCGGCTGATGTTGGGGGTGATGGACCTGTCGCCTGTCGACACGTTCATCGCCTGCCTGACGCTGACCCGGCAACACTCTGACAGGGAGGGGGGCGTGGCCTGCCGCTCCTTCAGCCACCTGACGACCGCCTGCCGGTCCCGGTGTAGACCGGACCCGAGGCCAGGCAGCCGCAGGAAGAGCTTGGAGTACATGGGGATCTGCTTGCTGCAGTAGAGGACCTCGTCGGGGCTGGGGATGTAGCCCAGCAGCACCAGTAGCTTGACCAGCATCGGCTCGCTGCAGGCGAAGGCGTCCTGCAGGATGCCCCGCCCCCAGCGCCCCGCCCTGTCCACCTGACAGCCGTTGAGCAGCAGGATGGAGGCTATGAAGCTGTTGTCGCAGGCTATGGCGGCGGTCAAAGGCGTCCAGTGGCCGTCGCTTTTGGACAGCGAACATCCTGACTCGATGAAAATCTTCCAGACGCTCTCGAGGTTGGAGTATGTGTTTCCTTTCGACGCGATTTTGTAATAGAAAAACGCCGTCAAAAATGGCGTCATTTTGTTTTGAGTCACCGCGTCTAGGTCCGCCCCCCGCTGGATTAGAACCCTCAAGATATTCTCGTTGCCTGTGCGGGCTGCCTCGTGTAGGGGCGTCCACTGAAGTTCGTTCTTCGCGTTGACGTCAGCGCCGAACTCGCACATCATGATCGCTGTCGTCTCGAGGTTGTTGCGCACCGCACGGTGTAGCGCCGTGTTCCCGGTGCGGTCGCCCAAGTTGAGGTCACTGTGGAGGGTGATGTAGAGGGAGGTCAGGTCCTCTCTCTTGCAGTTGCAGGCGATATGCAGCGCTGTCTGGCCCCGGAAGTCGCACATGTTGAGCAGCGATTGGCCAAGCTGCAGGTTCTCTGATGACGTGGGCACGTTGAGCAGCGTGTGGGCCAGCCTGCGGTAGCCGTACTCGGTGGCCCAGTGCAGGGCCGTGCGGCCACTCTCGTCCACCTGGAAGCGACTGGACGGGTCAAAGGTCAGGATCCGCTTGACCTCGGCCTCTCGGTTGCCCTTCGTGGCCTCTATGACGTCATTCTCGCCCAGGTTTTTCTGCGGCAAGAGAAAGTTCAAGGTCGTTCTGGTGTCCGTACACAGACCCATGCTTTACAGGACAATGTCATACAGCTAGTCCTGGGACAATGTCCCACCGCAACAATCCTATTATCTAAACCGACCAAATTCTTCCCTCTGCTGTCATGCAGCGCGCCTGCTGTAATGTGATTAAGGCGATACAGGGGAAATAATCCATTTATTCAAGTTTTTCCCACGCATCTTGACATACAGGCCTGAGTTATCTACCCTGCTTCGTGCTAAAATAGATTAGAGAATGCCAGCCCCATCGGGGGTAAAGCCGTCTACTGATGGTGTGGTGTAAGGCCGTCTACTGATGGTGTAAGACCGTCTACTGATGATGTACGGCCGTCTATTGATGATGTTTGGTAATCTGAAAAAAAAGAGATGAACTAAACAAATAGGTCGACACAATGTTGTCATAAATCGATGACGTCACATTGTCACGTGTCGTTTACATACGGGGACGTCATATTTGTTCGTGTGTGTGTGGTAGGTTAGTGTCAGATTTGTGTGTGTGTGTGTGTGTGTGTGTGTGTGTGAGTGAGCGTGAGTGCTTTAACTCAGCTATACTACTGCCAGTCTTACGTGGTCTGGTTAATGGGCTAGTGTTGATGTATGTATGTGTTTGTATGTGTTTGTAGTGTTGATGTATGTATGTGTTTGTTGTTTGTATGAGTTTGTAGTGTTAATGTATGTGTATGTTTCTTGGTGTAGCGTTGATGTATGTGTATGTTTCTTGGTGTAGTGTTAATGTATGTGTATGTGTATGTATGTGTGTCCATCTGGCGAAACAACACTGGTACATTAAACCTAGCGACATATGGGATGTGACGTCATTAATTAATTCAATTAATCACAGCGGTCATCAGCACTGGTTGGCTGTGCCTTGAGTTCCGCCATCTTGTCCCTGGCACCACTCAAGCAGAACGTCGTCGTCCCCCCCCCCTCTCTCCCCCCCCCCCCCACTCCACGATTACAGCTTCGATATTTTGTTTACGTTTGGCAGGAAGTGAACTTGTGGAGCTATTTATAGCTTGGGTTAACCGCATTACTTCCCTTTGTTAACAGCTGAAGCAGAGATAGACACTGCGATGGGGGGGGGGGGGGGGGGGGAAGGGTACCGGTCCGGGTAGTTACGTAACTGATGTTTTTCTGGAATGTCCTACAGTCACAGTTGACTGATCCACAGTGGTCACACCTACAAATTTAGTCATCCATAAACTGCTGTACGCAAACCAGTGGCGCCCCTCTACACAAGCCAGTGGCGTCACTCTACACAAGCCAGTGGCACCCCTCTACATAAGCCAGTGGCGCCACTCTACGCAAGCCAGTGGCGCCACTCTACACAAGCCAGTGGCGCCACTCTCCTCTCATTAACTCTGACACTACAACTTTTAAAAAAAAAATTCAAAATGGAACAAAAAATCTTTTAAAACTTCTTAAAAAATCAAAACAAAGAAAGACGTTAAGGGCAGACAATGATGTCAACACCCACCTTAGTTGTCGGCAGACTTGGGACTCTGTCTGTTATTGACCTCCTGACCACAGATTGACATCCAGGCAAGAATCAATCACTGAACTCACGATCTGAAGAAAAAACCAATCACAACAAATATCACTGCCTGAGATAGAACCAATCACTGCCTGAGACAGAACCAATCACTGCCTGAGATAGAACCAATCACTGCCTGAGATAGAACCAATCACTGCCTGAGATAGAACCAATCACTGCCTGAGATAGAACCAATCACTGCCCAATATATTCTGTACCCCTCACCTAGCTCGTGCTCACTGTTTACAATCATCACAGGAGCAGATAACCGCAGACGCCAATAACGTAGTTGGCGGCACAAGGAAACCTGGCAGTGAGCTAATTTTAGATCGCCTTCTCGCTGCTCATTTTTATGACGTCACCTTAATTTTATCGCGCACAATAGAGGGCTGGTGTATGGTGGGAGGGGGGAGGGGGTGTTGTTTGATGGGACAAAGAGTTTGGAGGGTGAGTTTGTGTGAGAGAGAGATGAGAGGTGTGGGGGGGGGGGGGGGCAGAATTGATATTTTCACAATATCAATTGTAGTAGGGTTAGGGTTTTGGTGAGGCCATGACGCCTGAGTCGATTGTCGGAAGCATTATAGAGGGGAGCCTTATAGACGGGAGCCGTTCACTGGGGTTTCAATGTTTGCAAGTTTCATTTTCAGAAATTGTAATGTCACTGTCCTTTCTTGACAAACTTAAGTGCAAACGCTGTGTCACATATCATTTATATACGTCACTTTATACCACTACAGCTTACACCACTACAGCTTACACCACTACAGCTTACACCACTACAGCTTACACCACTACAGCTTACACCAGTTTACACCACTACAGCTTACACCAGCTTACACCACTACAGCTTACACCACTACAGCTTACACCACTACAGCTTACACCACTACAGCTTACACCAGCTTACACCACTACAGCTTACACCAGCTTACACCACTACAGCTTACACCAGTTTACACCACTACAGCTTACACCAGCTTACACCACTACAGCTTACACCACTACAGCTTACACCACTACAGCTTACACCAGCTTACACCACTACAGCTTACACCACTACAGCTTACACCAGTACAGCTTACTCCACTACAGCTTACACCAGCTTACACCACTACAGCTTACACCACTACAGCTCACACCACTGCAGCTTACACCACTACAGCTTACACCAGCTTACATCACTACAGCTTACACCACTACAGCTTACACCACTACAGCTTACTCCACTACAGCTTACACCAGCTTACATCACTACAGCTTACACCACTACAGCTTACACCACTACAGCTTACACCAGCTTACACCACTACAGCTTACACCACTACAGCTTACACCACTACAGCTTACACCAGTTTACACCACTACAGCTTACACCAGCTTACACCACTACAGCTTACACCACTACAGCTTACACCACTACAGCTTACACCAGCTTACACCACTACAGCTTACACCACTACAGCTTACACCAGTACAGCTTACTCCACTACAGCTTACACCAGCTTACACCACTACAGCTTACACCACTACAGCTCACACCACTGCAGCTTACACCACTACAGCTTACACCAGCTTACATCACTACAGCTTACACCACTACAGCTTACACCACTACAGCTTACTCCACTACAGCTTACACCAGCTTACATCACTACAGCTTACACCACTACAGCTTACACCACTACAGCTTACACCAGCTTACACCACTACAGCTTACACCACTACAGCGTACACGTGTGTGATGACCTTTCTCCACACAGCAGGTAAATGTGTGAGTTAAATGTCAGCCTAGCCTGCACGTGCAGGAGTTATCTGCGTGTTACCTGTATCAAGGTCACGATAGGAGGAAATGTACGGGGGGGGGGGGGGTATAGTTGGGGGTGGGGGGGTGTGATGCTGGCGAAGTTTCAAGACTAATGGTGCCTCGTGATAGGATCAATTCATAACATCATCTTTAACTTGAGTCTGTAAACATCAACATCTTTAACTTGAGTCTGTAAACATCAACATTTTAACTTGAGTCTGTAAACATCAACATTTTAACTTGAGTCTGTAAACATCAACATTTTAACTTGAGTCTGTAAACATCAACATCTTTAACTTGAGTCTGTAAACATCAACATTTTAACTTGAGTCTGTAAACATCAACATTTTAACTTGAGTCTGTAAACATCAACATCTTTAACTTGAGTCTGTAAACATCAACATTTTAACTTGAGTCTGTAAACATCAACATCCTTAACTTGAGTCTGTAAACATCAACATTTTAACTTGAGTCTGTAAACATCAACATTTTTGAGTCTGTAAACATCAACATTTTAACTTGAGTCTGTAAACATCAACATTTTAACTTGAGTCTGTAAACATCAACATTTTAACTTGAGTCTGTAAACATCAACATTTTAACTTGAGTCTGTAAACATCAACATTTTAACTTGAGTCTGTAAACATCAACATTTTAACTTGAGTCTGTAAACATCAACTTGAACTCGTATCTATAACCATCCAATTTAATTCCTGGCTCTAGTCATGATCTTAAATCTTGGCCTGTATAGTTTCATATATTGAATTTTTTTTTCTAGCGTGTGTGTGTTTATGGGGGGGGGGGGGGGGTAACAAAAAGTAAAAAAAAATGTGTATTTGCAATGTCTGTATAAGCGAAAGCTAAAAAAATAAATTTCCTATTATCGACGCACTTGGACGCTTATTATTATAAATGTGTTTTTTTTTATATTTGGTTTATTTTAAAACTTGCTTGTAATTCCTTGTACATGAAGTCGACAGCCAATAGGTTATGACAGGGGTCTCCAAACTTTTCAGCCCGAGGGCCGCATTAACTATCAAATATCAGTTCGGGGGCCAGAGTTTCTTTAAGGCATCTCTTCAGGGTCGTGGCGCCCCCCCCCCCCCCCCCCTGAAGAACGACTACCGCCCCTCCCCCCCCCCCCTCCAACGAAATATAATTTATATTGGAATATATAAAAATTTTGAGTGTCCCCCCCCCTCCCCACACCCGAGGTCCACGTTTGCTCTCAAACTGTTCTTCACGTATTTCATTCTTGAAAATGTTTGTTTACACAGGTATGTTGTTGGAAAATTTGAAAGGTACTTTGATGCAAAGGATTTAATGTTAGGAAAGTCTTCCTTGTGCAAAAACTTATGAAAACCCATCCGCCCTTCTTTGAACGTGTCTCTAAGAAAGTCATTTTCTTGCAATTCAATGACCTCCAGCTGCAGTTCATCTTTGCAACTGGCCACATTTGCTTCAAATAGGCTTTGAAACAGTCTCACTTCTTCTGCCTTTGAATCCAATTCAGAAAACCGCTACGGAAACTGCAGCTGGAGGTCTTTAACGATCTCGTATATAAATGACGTGGGGAACTCACTGGTTGCTTCAGCCGTAAAGACCTTGCACTGCAGAAAGTGTGTCAAGTTGTTAGCCTGTACTTGTTTAAAAAACATGACAAGTTTGTATCTAGAGGCCTTTAGGTGGGTGTATAGGTCAGAAACTAGATTTCACTCTCTTGCTGTTATAAGTTCAGAAAATTTAAATGACCAGTTATGTTTGCAGCAGAGGCCAATTTCTATACCCACTCTTCATCAGACAATAATGGCTGTGACTTGCCTTTACTATCAGGAAGTCACCTATTTCTTTTCTTAGATACTCTGCTCAGAATTTTCTCGCAAAATTATCAATCTTACTGATGTGAAATATGGTAAATCTTGAGATTTTCTGTTTGTCTCTGATAGTTAGATATCCTCTTCGGTAAAAGTGCCATACATGTTATGTAGGGAAGCCAGCGGAACCAGCTCTTGTATTATGTTCAGGTCTTCATACACAACTCTAATGAACACAAGCAGTTGAGAGGTGGAACAGTTTTGAATTTTCTGTGCAAAGCTCCTCAGCCACCTCCAACAAACATTTATTCAGTGGACAAAAAGATCGTCGCGGGCCGGATAAAATGACCTCGCGGGCCGTATCCGGCCCGCGGGCCGTAGTTTGGAGACCCCTGGGTTATGACAAAAAATATCCCTAAACACGAGTTGTCTGACCCTGATGCCAGCCATTTGTTGTAGGGGTCACAAGTTTTAATCTTGTCATCTCCACTTTAATTTTTTAGTTGTCATTTTAAAGTGACATTTTAATGACTATTCAAATGACATTTTAATGACTATTCAAATGTTTAATTATATTACATTATAGATATAATTGTATTGCCACTGGAAACAAGAAATTAGAACGACATCTGCTTTAGATGTGAGGTCAAACAAACAAACAAACAAACAAAACACACACACACATAAACACACACACTCAAACACATAAACACACACACACAAACACACACACACACTGTGTACTAAACAAAAGCTTATCAAAATCTTTCAAAGGCTGGTAGCTAAGGTGGTCACGTTTTAATAAATGTGGACAATAAAAGAAATAGAAAAAAAAATATTTCAGAACAATGTGAAAAAAAAAGAAAAAGAAAAAATGTTTTTAAGAACAATGAGAAAATAAAAGAAATGAAAAAAATGTTTTTAAGAACAATCCTAATATATAAAAGGCCATGTGCGCACTTCTCTCTTTCTCTGTCCGCAAAATATTTTCGCAGGATATCACATCAGAATCTTCAGCGATATATGGAGAACTTGATACGAAATTTTGTTGAAAATAATATGGTAGATGTTTTAAATGTATAAACTTAATTTTATTTAATGAAGAAAAATAAAAATAAAGGCGTATTCGAATTTAGAAAAACATTTTTAATTATGCAACCGGAAAAGTGTTTAGACTTGGAACAAGAACGCATTTAACAATGACGTCGCTTAATCTTTTCACTACGGAAAGAGCACGAAACTAATGACGTCATCTTCCGAGTTTAGAATAAAATAAAATAAACCGGTAGTGATCTCCCCTAAACTTTCTCGAATATTCTTATATAAAACAACAGGGGATGGTAACTGGGGATATAGTTATGATTTTTAATCCATTTTAAATACTTAAACTTTTAAAAATAGAATATAATCTCATAAAAAAAAACATTGCACACCAAGCAAACGCCGAATAAAAACGCGTATAATAGTGCGCAATATTATTAGTACTTTAAAAATTTACATTAGTTTTTTGAGAAATCGGAAGTAGCGTAAATTACTACTTCCAGTCAACGGAAATTACTCAAAATTTAACAGAAGGTAGAGAATTAGATCTTTTACTTACATGTGAAATTTCATTTATCTATCTGAAATAGTACTCAAGTTATAGGCTTTTAAAAAATTCAAAGTAGGAAAAGTACCAC